CAGAAAAACAAAAACTGCAAGTTCTTTATCATATACAGATGATAAAAATATTGATCTGAATGTAGGATATTGATTACTAGATGCTGGAAAGCCAGAGAGAGGACAGGGAGTCTGCAGAACAGGTACCCAAATACAATTAGACAGAAGGAATAAATTCGAGTGTCCTATGGCACAGTGGGGAACTACAATTTCCAGTAACTTACTATATATTGTATGAGTAACTGGAAGAGAAGAAATTGAAGACTTTTAATATAAAGTAATGATAAGGAGATGGAAATTTTATTTACCTCATTTCATAGTTACAGTACTTATTGTATACATGTATTAAAGTATCACACCATGCCTTATAAATATGTACAATTATGTTCTAATCAAAATATGTAAATGTTTAAGGAGATGACTTGATCATTACATGGTGTAGACATGTATCAAATTTTCACATGGTACCCCATAAATATGTACAAATAAAATAATAAAACAAAAATATTTGCCTTCCAAATATTATTCATGACTTGAGATTACAGACTTGACACACCACATCTTCATTTGTATAAAGCTGTAGAGTACAGCTATCATCATAATTATGAGATATTTATTGAACATATACTAAAAACAAGAAATAGAAATATGTGAGCAACTGCAACTCTGATTGGAAGAGTTAGGATGTAAAAAACAGGAAGAAAAAAAATAACCCAGAAATACGGACTCGTGGAATTCTAGACCAGAGGATCTGCAGTGAGCACTCTTTTATGCCCATCTCTGAATTTCCTGCCTAAGGAGTTTTTAATTATCATTTATGTACCAAGAACCAGGTGACTGGTCAGACTTTTCTCAAAGCATTTCCAGAACCATGTTCATTACTCCCAGATCAGAAATAACTTTTCAGTTTTTTTCAACTCCCTGAGTAGCATATCTGCTTTTCTATGATAGAATATTTTCTTCCTTGTACCATAATTATTTACGTATATGTCCGATTTTCAGGGCTAGCCTTGAGCAGAAACCTCTGAGAGACAGAAACTATGTATCTGTGGACTGGCATGACCTAGCAGAGAGCCTTGGCCATAATAGGTAATAAGCAGATAGCCACACTATGCCGCACGGCACCCAGGATAATTTCTGTTACACAAATTAAATACTTTCAAGCTCCAGATAAAATTGTGCCACAGAAAAAGTTTGTCTCTGCCTTCAGGATCCTCCATTCAACTTGCTTGTCAAAAACACAATGGATTCAAAAAAAAAACACAATGGAGACGGACTACTCTGAGATCCTGGGGCAGGTCTGCAGGCTCTAGATAGTTCTTTCTAGCCCATCTTGTTTCCTATCTCACCCCCCAAATCACTGGATTGCAAGAAAGGATCTGATCAGCTTACTACAGTCTTCCTCCCAAAGAGAAACTATTTCCTATGTCAAATATTCTCTGACAGCAGTCATTTTACAAGATAAGCATAGGTCCTATTGATAGTCGCACTGAAGGGAGCACAGGAAAGCCTGTGTATTGGAGTGGGACCATGCCCAGTACTCTCTCCAATCAGCTGCTTCACCTCAGCAAGGCTAAGTGCTGCCTTCACTGTGGCTGCTTCCTTCTGCACCTTCCAAACATGTTAAGCCACCAAGCATAGATTCTCTGGAAAGCTGGAAGCTGAGTCTCAGAAATGGCCAAATAGAATTTCTTAGCCACAGCATTTCAGAAAATGTGAAATTGGATCTTGATCACTGGGAAGCCTCTGTCATGATTAAGTAGAAAAAATCAGACAGACATCTGTTCTGCCTGGAAACATGGAGAGCATACTAATCCTGAGTTCCTGCCTGCTGCGGAACATCGTGGCCTGGGTTTGGACTGGTTGGGTAGGCCACAGCCGACCCAGAGGAATGATGTTCTTCACGGAGGTGCCCAGGGACTGCAGCCTGAGCCTTTCATGGGCTGAAGGAAAGAAGTGAGTGGAGCTCTTCTCCATCACTTCCTCTTCTTACTTACAGACCTGGATCCCAGAAACCAGCCTGGGAGCTGAACCTGCAAGCTGAATCTTGTGTTCTTCATTCTCTAAGCTGTCAAAATGCCCTCTTCTCTCCTCCAAAACTCTTATCCACCTGTCAAGGCCCGGATCTGGGCCCACATCACTCATTTACAAACTGATTCATTTACCAACAATGAATAATTTGTACAAAGCACTGCGCTTGTTAAAGTGTAGAATAGAAAGTATACTGTAAGTACATCCTTCTTTTGGAATGCTCCCAAGCCTAAGAGGAAAGAGTAAGTAGATTCAAAAAATCATTATAGTCTAAGGAGGAGAAAAACCTACCAGTACCACAAGAAGGGTAAGACGGGATCCAAAGTGAACAACAGAAAGAACAAGTTGCATTCAAGCATATCAAAGAAGGTTTCATTGAAAAGGCAGCAGGGATGCTGGCACTGGAAGCACTGACAGCAGGGGAAGAAACAGGGAGAATCATGTGTGAAGAACACCAGATATGTTCAGTCTGATGAGAAATGGGCATGGAAGGGAAGTCATAAGATAGGTGGTTAGAAAGGCGGTTAAGAGTCCGGATCACAGCATCCCTCCTGGAAAATAACCCAGGAGACAGGAATCGCCCCTGACCCTTCTGCTGTACTTTTTTACAACCCTTGTGTTTTCTCCTTGCCCTGTGTGCTCCAAATGGCAGACATTCAACCAATGTGTGCTTAATAATGGATTAATAAGCTACTCACTGTTAAATGTATCTATATAACTCAGGGAAATTGTGTGATATGTTTTAACTCAAAACTTAGTTGCTTCCAAGTAATCATTTCTGTTACCTGATGTTTGTAAAATAAATAAAGAGAAAGTATGATTTGTTTAAAGCAAGATAATGGTGATGACTCACATGTCAAGGACATTCACACATGTCTGAGAATGTAAGCCGTATCTTACATGTCTCAGCAATTAAATGACCTCAAACTGAGCTCAAGTAAAGGCCAATGTGCATGTGGAATTTAGAGGAGCTGTGTTGCCTTGGTCTCCTGGATGTGCATAGGCCAGAGATGGCACAGTTGGAAATGGATCTGACAAAACAGGAAATAAAGCAAATGAAAAGTGTCTGAGAAACTTAGAAGTCTTGAGACTCCGAGTTAAAAGTACTCACAGGCTCTTATACTGCTTAGGTAAATAACAGTGAAATAAAAATAATAATAAAAATAATATAACTGCTATTTGTTGAGTAGTTACTATATATGAGACATTGCACTCGCTGCCTTATGAATATAATCACATTAAATCCTTGCAACTACCCTATGCAGCAGGTATTATTAGAGACATTTTCCAGATAAGGAAAACAGCAAATAAAAGTGGCGAAATAACTTGACCAGAGTTAAATAGCTAGCAAGTGGCAGATCCAGGTTCAAAATTCAGGTCCATCCGATTCTAAATCTTAACTAGACTACATTTCTAAGTGGAAAGATACCTTAGCAAACAAGATCAAGATGAAGCTAGGCATGATGGTGTATGCCTGAAGTCCTAATACTCTGGGAGCGTGATGCAGGAGGATCTCAGGTTTGACACCATTCTAGACAATTTAGCAAGAGTGAGATCCTGCCTCAATGAAAAAATAAAACAAAACGGGGTAGAGCTCAGTGTGAAGGCCCTAGGTTGGATCCCCAGGAGAGAGAGGGAGGAAAGCAGAGAAGGAGAGAGAAAGGAAGGAGGGTGAAAAGGAGAGGGAGAGAGCTAGAACTTACCAGGCACCAACAACATATACACAGTGAGTCACAAGTCAGCCATGCCTTCCCTGCTCCCAGAGTTAAGCATATGTGCTGATCTTTATGGATTTTCAAGGACAGGGAAACATACACAGCCATTTATAATCTAAGAACGAGTAGGTGTTCACCAGATCCACACACTGGGTGTGAGAAAAGCCAGCTTACAAATAACATCTCAAAACTCATGAAAGGTGCAGGCTGGGAAGGGAGAAAGAAATAATTGCCACCTACAGGCTTAAGTGGTGTTGAAGAGGGCTGGGACTGAGTTGTGAATCCAAGGGACAGGGAGGACAAAGCCATCGCTGACCTCCGTGGCCTTCCCAGCACTTGCTCAGCCTCTGCTCTACTGTGTGCACTCTTGAATAACAGCAGAGTTGCTTTGTTAAGCTTTTGCCTGAAACTCAGGTGGAGGTGAGGAAATCATGAGCAAAGCATCACTTATACCCTTAATCCTCTCTAGGAGGTCACCTTGTAGACTGCACTACACCTCCTGCTTTTAGCAGCTGTGTGACCTTCCACAAGTAACTGTGAGTCTGCTGTGAGGATTAAGTGACCTAATATGCATATAATAAATACACAGTCAGTGTATGTAATGCAACACCTGCCACATGCCGAGCTCTACCATTATTATTTAGCACGGCCGTGCATATATGACTGCTCTTGGTAAACTATCGAAGGCCTCTTACCGGTGTCTGCACAAAGCAACATGCAGCAGAGGCTACCGTACTTGCATACTAGTTTGCTCAGGCCCACACACGTTTTCTGAGGCCCTCGTGGGTTCTTACCTAGATGCATTTCTTTTATTCTTTCTTGAGTATCATGTGTAACTTATTTCCCTCATCTTTCTTTCATCTCAGCCATGCACCCTGCGTGACACTGGGGTTAGGGGAGAAGCTAGGGTTAGGCTTACGCTTAGGGTTAACTGAAGTCATCCAGGGCCAGCTGGACAGAGCTTGGCCAGCCTCGTCTGGCGTCCCTCGCAGGAAGGAAAACAGAGGTGAGGCGCCTCTGTGTGTCTCAAACGCGGGGACTGTGAAAGAGTCACCCAACAAGTCTGGCTGCCTCCACATTCATTTAGAAAAATATGTCTATGGAGCCAGGAAACCGCTTGTGCAAAAAAAGAAAGCAGTAAGCAAACAGAACGTGCCCAGACCCAGGCAGCTCCAGCCTGGCCCAGCGCCGGATATCCGGGGGAGGGGGCACCGCCCACCCCAGGCCCCGCCCATTCACCGCCCTGCCGCCACGCAGGCCCCTCCCCTTCGGTGGCGGCGGCGGCGGCGGCGGCGGCGGCGGAGGGGGCACGTGGGTACCGCTGTCAATCACGCGCGGGCTGGGCTCCGCGGGGCGCGAGCGGTGGAGGCGGCGGCGGCAGCGATGGGACCCCGGCGAGAGATCTGCGGCTAGGCTGGCTGCACTTGCTCCACGGGTCAGGGGATCGGAGGGGCAGGTAAACCACGCTCAGCCCAGGGCGCTTCCGGGCTCCAGGTCTTTCCCCAGCTCTCCAGATAGCCCTCTCCTCCCTTCCTTCTTTGCCTTTCTTTCCTCCCTCCTCACGCACAAATATTCCTCTCTCTCTCTCTCTCTCTCTCTCTCTCTCTCTCTCTCTGTCTCTCATTTATTATATGCACATAAACCTCTGCAAAAACCGTACTCATTGCAAATCCGTGAAAACATATAAATTAGGGGTAGCTCACCCCATGCTTTGGTGGTTCGTGTTACGTAAGAATTAGGGTGTTGTACGTCTAAAAACTTAAGACTTTCCTTCCTGGGAGACAAGAAAGTTGTTATGTTAGGTAAAAATAAGATAGAAAGTATATTTGAGGTGTGCAAAGCTGGTTTGACATTTCTCAGACTGAATCGAACCCCCACTCGGCCTCCCCAATTCGTACCATGTCTGAAGTTTTTTGAGTGTTTGGATCTCAGGATCTACCGCTTTGTGTTGTGAGAAAGGGTCGTTGGGTAGGGGTCAGACCAAGGTTGGTGACCTCAGAGAACACAGCCAGAGTGGAATAGACAAGGTTTGCTTAATTGGTTCCTGGGTCTGAGCAGATATGTGTTCGGCACCTTGGAGAGCTCTCTGGGCTCCAGACAGGCCCGCGCTGCTAGCTGAAGGCTTGAGTGCAATCAGTTCCTTCAGACAAAACCGGGAAGGCGACAGTTAAAAGAAGGGACATGTAATTATTGAAAGAGACAGAGAAGGGCAGAGACAGGGACAGGGGCTGGAAGAAAGGGAAAGAGAAAGACCAGAGACAGGAGAAGGTGGTAAATGTAGTGATCTAGAGTTGACTTACTTTCTTCTGCTTATCCAGACCCAATATTCTAATATATTATTTTCCCATCTGCTCACATATCACATAAATTTTGAGGACAAGACTAGGTCTTGAAGAAGGCTTAGGTCTGCTTTCTATAGAATGACCCTGGACATGCTGAAAACAGTGTGTTTGGTCTCTGGTAGGCCAACTTATCCTGAGACATTGGGTTCTGCAAAAGAATGTCCACCAGAAAGAATTTGTAAAGATCTCTCTCTCCCTCCCTCCCTCCCTCTCCCCCCCACCCAGACATTTTATTTCACAAGACTAGAATAATGTAGGAAGCTATAGCTGCCAATGGCTTCTTAATTAAATTTTGCACGGGCACCTGCTTTTCTTAGCCAGATGGAAAGTAAAATGATCATGATAGGAAGAAAATGGATATAGGAGTAAAATTGAGTCTAATGAGTAAATTGTCCAAAGAGCCTTACTAAAGACATAACACATGTAAATATCCAAAACCACATTGACTATAGAACTCATTTATTTTACAATATAATGGAACACACCCCATAAAAATCAATTCTCAAATATATAGAAAGCTAATATCTATTTAGATTTTGTAGAATACAAATGGATTGGTCTAGTTAGTATGATTAACTGCATGGGTTCTGGTTATATCGAAGTGAGAATATCATTTATATGGTGTGTTGTAGCTTAGAAAGCTCTTTTGATGTATGTTGTCTCATTTACTCTACAAATTATCATGGAAGCCATTGGAAGGTTATGAAATATCAGTTAGACATGTTTTTTAATTTTTTTAAAAAAGCTTCTCTACCCTTGAACAAAACACTGTCAGTGTTTTGTCAACATTAAATGCTTTTTTATAATATCTATAACTAGCTTGTGAAGTTTAGATTTTGATCTGAAGCACATCTGCAGAATTTTTTTTCTTAAATAGGATTGAAGAATGTGCTGCTGAAAAGAAAAGTTAAAAAGTAAACAACAGCAAAGGACAAGGCCTTCAAAGGTAAGACTCAACCTTACCATTTGTAGATACATAAGCAACACTGGTTTGCTTGTAGATAAAGAGGTTTAAAAAGAGAATATGGGTTCTTTTTCTCTTCTCATTTTGGCTTTGGACTTTATGTATGTTAGTAAAAATATATATCTTGAAGAAGTAAAGTAATTGATAATGAGTAAGATAATTACACATCATTACTATGCTTTTACAAATTAAAGATAACTATTCACTAACTTAGAGAGTATTTTTTTAAATCTCATACTACAGAACTATGATCACTACAACTGTTCTAGAAAAATAAAATGTCTCTGAAATGACCCACTGGTAGAAACACATTTCAAGTTTGAAGGTCAGGCCAATATGATTCCAGAATGCCTGACGGAGAAGTGAAAAGGCCATTAGCAGGCTCTTGTGTCTTCCCGTGTCCACTGTGGACCCAGTGGAGCCTTTTAAGTGCAATGGCCCTTTGGTTTGGACTTAGATAAGTGGTCTAAATGGCCCACGTGCCTGTACCTTGTGTTTTGCAGTGCTGGGCCTGTGGGAAAGTGGCCCTAATGGGAACTTCACTCTCATTATCTCAGAATTATTTTGAGGGAGAGAAAAGCAGTACGAAAAATTGAAGAATATTTCAGAGTCAATAAATAGAACAAGGCCTGGGCCTGGCCTCACAACTGACTCATACATAGAGCCCTGGGAAAACACTCATTCTTTCTGTGCCTCAATTTGCTGCCTCTCTTCTCTCAAGGAGACCACAAGGACAAATAATGTAATGTTGGTGGTGTTCTTAGAGTCTCATGAGGCGTACATCTTCTGTTTTCATGGCTATGAGCATTTTTACAATAAACACAAAATAACTGCATATACTGTATTCAGCTGAGGTTCAGATTTCTAGCAAATTGACACTATAGCATATTGGTACACATAGTGATCACAGTAGCACACATATGGATTTGTTTGCCTGATAAAGCAATTGTTCAAGGGACTCTCCACATCTCTCTCCTGCTGTGAATGCCTCCTTCTGATCCCCATTTCAGTGCATTTGTATCTTCTTGAGTGTGTCTCCTAATCCAAGGGTCAATTGAAGGCACCCTACGTCCCCACTCAACTTTGTAACCACTGTCTCCCCAGTGCTTTAAATGAAGCTGCAGTTTAAAGGAAAGTGTAAGGTACTAGTTAGGTTAGTTACTTAAAATTAAGTATTTATATTAAGAATGTTTGTATACTGTTTGTTTAACACATTACTTTAGTATTTGTTGCCCAAAATAGTAACACCTGGGATCATACATATTCCTAGACATATAGTTATTTGGAATTCATTTCTTTGTAGAGATTGTCCCACACATCATTAATGCTTTTAAAAAACACTGAAAGAAGGAAGAGCTTTTTAAAAAATTGATGTACTACTCAGGCCATCAACTACATCATCACCTGTAAGACTGGGCCAGGAAGTTTCAGAGTTCTGGAGATTAGAGATGAACAAGATAGAACAAGTTCCTGCCCTTATGGAGCTTTTAGTCTATCATGTATATGGTCTGTTAGACCACAAACAAGCTCCTCTTAGCGTATCAGGTAGTAACAAATGCTATGAAAGGAAGCAGATATGGACAAGAGGATAGAGAGCAGTAGAGCACTGATATTTATATATACTAATTGCAGAAAACCTCTCAGAAGAATTTAGGAGGAGAGCTACAATATGATGTTCTCCTTCCAGGGGTCTCTGGAATACAAAAGGCATGCTGTGTTGCTAAGGATTGAATATTCATTAAATGTACTACTGTGCATGCAAGTGAGATAGTTGCTATAGGCAGATAATAAAAAGAAATTATGGATGGACCCTCCTTTAACAGCTTCTAGAATGACCTTCCTAGAGTATGAAAACCGCTTTCTCTTCATAGGGACCAGAACACCCCACATGGATATTGCTTGTGCTCTGCCTTGATGCCAGGTCCACAGGGAGGATGCACCAGACTCCAGGAAGCAGCTATAAAATATGTGCCAATATGGACTAACTTAAATACATCTAGGAAATGCTAGTCACCCTCCAGGTCATGTATCTCCTAGAATGTTAAGGTCTTTCCTAAAGGACGCAATCTGCTAAAATCTGCCCTTATCTACAGTCATGGATTTGCCATTACTGGTATTGTTGCTGCTACCCAGCCATTAAAACACAGCTTCCAAACTCTAGTGAAACCTGCTCAGTAAGAAAATGCTGGGCCATGCTGAAAAGCCTTTGCCTGACCTTCCTCATATGTCTCAATCCTAGTTCACTGTGAACCATTTAAGAATTTCCCTCCTTTTAAAGAGACTTTATGAAGTGATCTCATGTTTCCTCTTGACAACACCAGAGGTGGCAGATTACCAAGTACATTCCAAATAAGTATCATATTCTCTGAATTGGGACAAAAAGTTTCTGGATTCTCTAAAGTCTTGTAACTGTCCAAAACCATTATTCTACTGTGTTATAAAACTCATGTTCTTAAAAGTGGTCATTTTCCTCTAGGAGTGAATCACAACTAATTATATCTTTGAGAAGATGTATGAATCCTCTCAGATTCCTAGGGGCTACTATTTTAGGTAACACAAATGATACTGAAGTAATATGTTTAAGCACTATATGAACATTCAATCCCTGTGATAGCAAGTAACTACCCTAACTAGTACGTTATAAGTCCCTTTCAGCTGAAGCTTCATACATACTGGAATTTACTAAGAGTTTGGAAAGGTCAGTCAATGAGGGTACAGAAGGAGGTAGGAAATCAGTTGTTCATCCAACATAAAGTAACTGACTCATTCTGTAGTTTTGTAGCCAAAAATATCCTAGAAAACTACATTGGAAAGCAATTAGAGGTCAATCTGGTCCAATCATCTTATTTTAAGGACAATGTAACCATAGCCCAAAGAGATTAATGAGCTTGTCTGCAGTCTCATGAATGTAAGTTGCAGATTAGGAACTGGCAGTCGAGTCCATTCAGTGCTCTGTGCATTAGCCAAAGGCAGGCCGAGCTCTCATTCCTGCTTGCACCCCTGGAGGAGAAAGGAAGGCTCTTTGAGATTCCTCTTCCGGAATGTACCCAACATCATAAATCCCATTCTGACTTAGAGTACAGGCTCAGGCTCAAAAACATTTGTTTGTGATATTTTCTATGTCTTCTTTATTTTACCCACATCTTTTTAAATAAAGTGGAACTACTAACTTTCAACTTATAAACCAAAAGAGCAAAATGCCACCTACGCAGGGACTGAACACCACATGTCAGTGGTCCTGCTCTGCATCAGAGCTCAGGAAGGAAGCTAGAGGAAGCTAGAGGTCAGTGCTGAGGGAAGATAATTCCCACTGTTGCTTTGAGGGATGTTTTTATCCCTATTTCTGTTCTTTTTTCATGTTAAAGTCTCTGAGGCTTTATAGAAAACCTGATATATATATATATATATATGTATATGTATACATATACACAAAATACATACGCATACACTTAGATATATGTATATAGATATATGGGTTGGTTCTGACTATGTAAGTATATGATTCAGTCCTTGTTCCTGCTTATTATATTAATTGTCATCTTTCACATCCTGCCTGACTTACAGCTCACAGCATAACCTTTAAGAAGATGATTTTTCTATGCCTCAGTTTCCTCAGTGACAAAGCAGAATTAGTAACACTAAGGGCAGCTCTCCTTAAGTGAATTTCTTATTAGAATATCTTGAAGATGCCTTTAAATTATTCCACTTACATATCACTGGTAGTAAATAGGTTCTTATTAATCATCTTCATTGTATAAGCATTAAATGGAAAGTACTGAAGAGCTCATCCTAGCACTCAAGATAAGAAAATGAGGTAACATTCTTTTGATCTGTCAGACATTGCTGTTCTAATCACCCAAAGTACATCCTAAAATTTTGATTTGTTGTGAAATAATATTCTTCTGAATGTTTAAAAGTTTTTGTAAAAAGTGCTTTGCCTCTCCTTCTCTCTCTTCCCGAGTGATTTCTCTAGATGGCAGCTGTGTCTGGGGGAAGAAGGCACAGGTACCCAGTGTAGCACTGACTAGCAGCTAAAAGGAGGGGGCCGTTGGTCAACATCAGTACCACCGGCGCGCATCATTTTTCTGACATTAGACCATATTGTCTTGAATTTGACCACCTTTCTAACTATTTGTAGCTGCAGATACACATTTATGAAATGTTCTTATGGGTTCTGTGTGTGCCCATGGGACAGGGCAAGTCTGACTGTGTTTGTCCCATAATTCTGTTCAACCAAACTAAATGACCACACTGAGATATTTGACAGAATCATAGATCAGTGTTTTCTCTTATTGACAAACATCCCTAGTTTGTTTCTTATTTAAGTAATTGGAAACATTGAATATGTTTCTGTTGGCCTGGATTGTAGCACAATACAGATTCAGAAAACAAAGAATAAAAAGGATAACTGAGAACTCCTTTCTCACCAATATTACTGCCCCTTGCTAATTCCTTCTTTTTTAATCATGAATTATTAAATTAAATCCATAAATGCTCTCTCCATAGCATCCTCACCACCCACATGGACAGATGATAACTAAGATACATATGCTGCTAGAATTAGTGAAGTGTAAATTATTGGCCTGGCCATTTGTGATTAGTAAAGCATGAAGTGTAAGTTGCTCAGCAGTTTTTAAATACAGCATCTGTACAACTTGACAATGAGTTAAAATGTTAGAGGAAGATACATGAGATCTGAACGCAAATCTCAAACTGCTAAGAATAATTCCATGTAGATTTCACAAGGGAACATGATCAAAAATCTGAGAGGAGAGTCCAAGGTAAGTTCCAGCTGCAGCAAATGGAAATGTCTGCCTGAGCCTTTAGCATGTAAGTGTAAAAACTACTAGATTCTAAGAAAGTAAAGATTTTTTGTCAAGGCAATGAAAGTCTCAGCTCCTTTTCTGCCATCTCTCATGAGCCTCATGCTTATAGTTTTGCATAATTTAAGTACCCTGTGCTGTTGTATTCATTTACAGAGAACCAGCGAAGTGTCTTTTCTCTTAAAAGCACTGTTCAAGCAGGCTACCAGGACTTAGCCTGGTTTTCCCACCTTAATATGTTTTCTGATGCTGGGTCCAGTCCCCAAGGGGTTCAGCTATGTGGATGTTTTCTTTTCAGCTGAGAAGAATGAGTTCTTGCAGCAACATCTGTGGGTCCAAGCAAGCACAGGCGCCCACAGAGGGTGGGTTCCAGCGCTATGGCGTGCGGTCCTACCTGCACCAGTTCTATGAAGACTGTACGGCCTCTATCTGGGAGTATGAGGATGATTTCCAGATCCAGAGATCACCTAACAGGTGGAGCTCAGTATTCTGGAAGGTGAGGAAAAAGTGTATGTTTGACTCTGGCAGTGGAAAAAAAAATGGACATGGTAAATACTGCTGCTATAGAGAACCGAGTGGTTTGGTACTGTGTGTGTCACTCATGGTGACTCTACGTGCATCTTTCTTCCCTTAGGAAAAGAGAAGCTAAATTGTGGGCCAAAGAAAGCCTCTCCACACAATGTAGTTGGTGCTGAGCAAGTTAAACACAAGTAGGCACAATTGCCATGATAATTATTATTATTGCTAAGGTTGTTTGTGTGCCACTAAATTCACTGTGAAACCACCCATAGGCAAACATATTCTCTCAGCCTATTCTTTCAGCTTACCTTACAGGCTTGGTAGGTATCATTTGACAAACTGCTGCAGCAGTTATTATAAAGAAATAATTGGGTATTAGAGATAGCAAATGCTAAGATATGATAGAGTAGTCAGAATACCAGCTCTGTGTTCTGAGATTCTAAGGTGTCACACTAAACAGTGGATTCAGTCTGTTAACAGATGGTACCGGGCCAGGGATTTAGCTCAGTGGTTCTGCCACCTGCCTTGCAAGCGCAAGGTCCCGAGTTCGATCCCTGGTACAAAAAAAAGAAACAGATGGTACCAAGCTCTGTGTGCCACAGAGCTTAAATTGCTGGAGATTAAAATGGTAAATAGGAGAAGAAAATGTCCTTGCCTTCGTGGGCCTCACAACCTGTCCTGGGCAACCGCCATAAACACATAAAGTCAAATAAATAAACAAACAAACAGATAAAGTCCACAATGGAAGATCAGATAGTGTCAAGTGCTATAAAGAGAAATCCGCCGGAATAAGAGGACAGAGAATGATAGACTGATGTTTGGATATGCTGAGGGTAGAAAGCCCTTCACAGGAGATGGAATCTGAACACATGCCAGGAGGAGCAGAAGGAACAGACCCTAAAGTTGTCTGGCTGACGGTCATTCTAGGCTGGGAAAATAGCAAGTCCGAAAGCTCTCAAGAGGATGAGGTAGAGATCCAGTCTGGGTGGAGTGGAGTAAGAAAAGAGAGAAGCAATGAATTCAGAAAAATGCCTACCAGGGCACAAGTGATTTCTGTAGAGTCTCATAGACTGCAGTGAAGACTTGAGCTTTTACCTCAGCAAACATGTGAAGCCACCCAAAGATAAGAAGAGCAAGAGCAACACTACTACAAGATCCTTCTGGCTACGGTGCAGAAAATAGATTGCAGAAAGGCAAAAGTCAAAGCAGCCAGATTAATTCAGAGGCTGTTGAAGTACCCAGGAAGAGATCATGGTGGCTTAGATTAGGGTGGTATTAGTGGAGAGGGGGGAAAGTAGTCCAGTTTACCATAAAGTTTGAGGGCAAAGTTGTCAGGATGTCCTAATTCTCTAGGTTTGGAACATGAGAGAAAGAGGAGTCAGCCATGAGTGCAGACTTTCAGCCGGAGCCATATAATGAATAGTGTTGTGGTTTCCTAGGGTGGAGAGGAGTGAGCCCAGGAGAAAGCAGGAGTGTGACTTTGGCTGGGCTCATTGGAGATGCCTATTAGATGTAGTGCTCTCTAGAGGCCAGTAAATGTATCGCTTTGCAGCTCACAGAGTAGAAGCTACTGACGCCTGGAATGTGTCAGACTAGTTGAGACCATCTAGGAAGAGAGTTTGGACAAAGGGGATTATATGTCCTTTATCCTTAAATGCTATGGTCGCTGACATACAGAATATTGTGCGCATTCAGGTAGATCCAAAATTCTGGTGGTTATGTGATTGTGAAGCTGTGAAACCCATCAAATAATGCATAGTTATGAAATTCTCAGTAAATCACCAGTTTTCCAATTCAGATTTTAATGTTTTCTCCACCCTATTTTACACAAATAAGACTCAAAAGTATTTATTCCCTATAGTACCAGACCTGCTTCAGAAAAAAAACTGTCCAAAGTCTGTGCCCTCATAGAGATTACACTCCAGAAAAAACTAAGCCTTGATCCATATCCTACTCATTAACTGCAAGCAGCGTAGTGTCAAACTGAGTAATCTAAGGATTGACTGCCTTGGAGACCTTGTCTCTACCAAGGAAATAAACTGACGTTTCTTGGCTTCCTCCTGGAGATTATGTGCGTATTCGTTCCCATGGGTTTATGATATGCTTTGTACCAACAGAGAGAAAGGAACCAGTTTTGCATGTTTCTATTATGATCCTTTTTAATGTTTTGGCTTTCATTTCAAAATGCATCTGTACATGGTTAGAGTTACTTGTGCTCTTTTCCACTGTGGCCTTGTGCTAGGGGTCTTTGGTCTGTCCCTGGGGACAGTGCTCACAACACTTCGATAGGACTCGGCCCTTGAACTCTTGAGCAAAGGGCCACATAGAGGGCCTTGATGAGAACAGAGACTGGAATCAAATGGGCTGGAGTTACACTGATTCTCTATCACATGGTTCTACGAAACACCTATCTCACAGTGCTGTTCTTTCTATTAGGTTTAACCGTTCACCATGTACTACAGAATACAAGATATATTCTTCACCTCTAAATAAGATATAAACCTTGACGTGAAGGGGTTCACAGTAAAATAGGGGAAGTGAACAGAGACACAGATTATTACAATGCAATACGCTGAATCCTTTCCTAAAAATAGTCAGAGTACTTACTGGGAGCCCAGGGATTGAGGGAGAGGGAGGAGTGTGTGTCTGGTGCAGGCTGAAGAGGAAGTGGTTTTCAGAGGAGACCTTATGAGCACAAGCATGAATTGATTCCCAGGAGAAAGGAATGCCTTGCCAGCTGAAGATGCTGAATAAGAGAGCCTGGCACACTGGGGGACTTCAGACAGTGCCATACAGCTGCAGTAACTGTTCACAGGTTCTGGAAGAGGTCAGAGATGGACTAGAAACACACACAAGAGCCAGGTCACACAGGGACTTTGAAAAGCCCTGGAATAGAAATGGCTTCAGAACTCTCAACTTGAGTACAGTGAGGATAAAGATAATAATAAATTTGAACTTTCCTCAAGGCTTGAGGGAATGCCTCATAGTCTGGTGTCAACACACACACACACACACACACACACACACACACACAGAATGTCTACTATCTCAACTTCCGATTTATCCCAATGCCTACAACTGCTTTCATCTCCAAAACTCCATGGAATTTGGTCCCATCTGCCACTCATTGCTGCTACCTGAGATCAAACAGGCTGGTGTGGATGGGGTGTTTTTCTTTTCTTTTCTTTTCTTTGCACCTGACGTTGACTAAGGCCATTCCCGCTTGACTGTCTGTGCAGCAAACAGCCTCATCCTACAGGTACCAAACCAGGCTTCTCACTCCCAGCCCTTCTTTCCTCACCTCAGCATCAGCCTCCCCCTTTCCTTCCCTTCACCCCATCTCAGAAGTGGCTCAGAGCAGCTGAGGAAGACTGTTAAGAAGAAAAACCATGGGGGTAATCTTCATTTTTTGTTTTTGTTTTGTTGTGGTTTGGTGTAGTTTGTTTGGTTTGGCTTGGTTTGGTTTGGTTTGATTTGGTTTGTTTGGTTTTACAGTACTAAAGATTGAACCCAAAGCCTTCATAGTGAACTATAGCCCTGGCCCTTTTTAATTTTTTTTTTTTTAAAAATAGAGTCTCACTAAGTTGCTAATTTTCCCAGGCTTGGTTTGAACTTGCAATCCTCCTTCCTCGTCTTCCCAGAGTGCTGAGATAAAGTGATGTGCCACCATCCCCAGCCTATCTCTGTATTTAAAAGTTTTCTCAGGTGACACTTGAAGAAAGGTCTGAGAAGTTTGGGAGCCTAGGATGCTGAGCAGTGAGGGACCTAGACTGGATATATGGTTTGTGTCACTAAAGGAGTGAGGTGGAGGAGAAGAAAAATCTAAGAGAAGCTTAGGAGGTAGAATCAGTAAGATTTAGTGATCTGTTCCCTGTGAATGTGAGGAGAGACTAGGAGGGTGAATGGGAGGAACATGGAGAGATACCGAAGGGCTCTAGGATCCCATTTTGAATATTCAGGTTTAAGGAGTCTTTGGGACATCTTTCTGTTGATCCCCCTATTCCCTGACAGATATGTAGCCTAGAACGCAGAACAGCAGGCCAGGCTGCAGTTGGAGACTGGGAATCATTGGTAAAAGTAGGTGTCGAAGCCACAGCCCCAGGTGACACCTGGACAGAAGGGGTCTCTGTGAGGTGGAAGAGCTGATGGGAGATGCCACTACCCAGACTGGGGAACTGAGTCAGGTGTGGGGCAGGACTCAGACCTTAGCCCTCATAAAACTCATTGCCACCACTGCAGATCTGCAAAGAAGTCATGAGCAGCCAGCAGGGCTGATGCAGATGCATCCAGTCTTCATTCTCAAGGCGCTTTCCTCGAATAACCTCCAAGCCAGATGGCTCCTATTCCAGTTCCACCCAGCCTGTCCCCACAGGCAGCTCTTCCCTTCCTTGCTAATTCCTGCTTCCAACAGTCATTACTGCTCTCCTCTGCCAGAACAGCTGTGCCTGCTGCTGCCGGCTTTGCTTAGCCTGCTGGAGTCAGCTCATTCCCAGACCCCACCAGCCCACTGAGGACCAGAAGAGAGAGGTTGGTCCAAATAATAGCCATCTCTGCTGGTAGCCCCACCAGCAGGATTTCAGAAACCTGAGTTCTCTTCCCTACCCAATCCTTGTTTGCATGAGCAGGGACTGAGTTTTCATATACCCTCTGCCCAAGCCAGGAGAGACCTCAGAAGTCACAGCCCCAACACTGTCCCTCCAGCTGCTTTGGGGGTTGTCATGTCCTGGCATGGTCCTTCTCTCTCACCATTCGGGTTGACCACACTACAGCATTCCAGCCCCCTGACATGGCCCTGAGCAGAGAGCTCCTTTGCTCTCTTAGCCCCTTACATGATCTCCCTGGTGTAGTTTTATTTACTCTCTCAATTTAAAAGAGCCCTCCTCCTCTTAGGCCCAAGACTACTTCAACTTAGTACAGTATCTGAAGATAATTTTTCAGATACTGAAGGGAGTCACTCCCCAAGTCTTTATTCCTTCCACCATTCCAACATGGTACCAGGATTAAGCTGGTGCATCCTGACTGCCCTGCTCACCTCCACGATGGGCTCAGGAAGGTTCAGAAGCAGCCTCCTTGTATCTGGCACTTCATGTCTACCAACTGGAGCTCTCCCTGGCTGCTTTAAGAGACTTAGAGTCCCTCTGTGGGTACATTGTCTGGAGGTCCCTCTGAGACTTGAGTTCAGAGTCAGTGTCCACTGCACTGCCTCCCTCTTCCTGGGATTCTCTGATGGAAAAAGGAAAAGCAAGCTGGCTCCAAGGGCCCGGCTGCCTCCAGTTCTCAAAGTGAGCAGGAGTCCTACCATCTGCAAGCCCTGTTTGCCTCTTAGCTTCTAAGTCAATTCCAAGAGTGGATTCACATGCAATGTGAAGCTCAGCTAAAGAGAGGACTCCACTGAGAATCAGTCACCCGGCTCCACATCCAGCAGTCTGGGCCTGGGTCTGTGGCTCAAGAGGATTTATAGCACTTTGGGCCAGAAAGAGAGCTGTGGGGAGCAAAGACAAAAGCCAGGGTTGGGAGCACGTTCTTCATATGCTCTTTGGAAGCTCAGGTATTAAGATGAGTTGCATTCTGCTGCCCTCGGTGCTGAGAATTAGTGCCAGCTCTTGAGGCGGAAGGTAATTTAGCAACATAGGAAGCATGTCACCATGTATATTTAAGTTAATTTAGTTTGCTCCTTCAGTTTTCCAATGTGAGTCATTTTCAAGCAGTTATAAATAATAGTTAGCTTCAGAAGGTGAATTTACTCTCCACTATTTTTAGAAAATGCAGAAAGCAATCCACAACGTTATACAACCTGACTTTCCTACAGCACTAATCTTATTTAGAACAATTTCTGCTTTTTTAGAAGACACTGTATTGACTCTGTTTTTCAGTTTCTTTACAATATTACACAAAAGGAGATTTGTCTGTATATTTACATTTCAAAACTCCTTTTGAAATTACAATAAAATTAATAAGAAAGAAATACGCAAAATAGTAATTGGCAGGGTACATTGGGTAGAAGAAAAGTGGGAGGTGGAGTTTGACAGACCAGAAGTAGAATTTGCTTATACTACCTGCTAACTATGCAACCTTGAACAGTGCTCCTTTGACCAAATAAACCTGTTTTTAATAGATGAAATGAGAATAAAAATACTACCTCTCATAAGATGCTTGTAAAGATTAGGGGGCCAGGGATTTAGTTCAGTGGTTCCGGCGCCTGCCTCACAAGTGCAAGGTCCCGAGTTCGATCCCCAGTACCAAAAAAAAAAAAGATGCTTGTAAAGATTGAATGAAATTATACTTAGCTCTATACCCAGGTTGAAGTAGATACCCAATAATACCAGTTCCCTTCCCTAAGGAGATGGATTTATCAATGCATTTTCCTTCTATTGTCCAAACTCCCTTTATTAATATATTACTTCTAAAATTTACTAAATAAGTACATACACTTTAAATATTCAAGATTAAATGGTGTTATGAGTTTGGTTATTTTTCCAGCCTTGTTATTCTACCAATAATTAGGTACAAGAGGAAATGAAAAATTTTGTTTAAGAAATAAATAACTATATTAAATATTCTTTGTTCCAGATGCCGAGCAATTGTTTTAATGCTGTTGCTAGTGCAGCATAAGAGTTTTACAAGGGATGTATTTCCAAGTAATAATAATAACTATTTATTAAAATTCATCAATTAGCCAAATGCAGAGCTAAGTGTTTTCACACATGGCCTTTTTTTAATGCTTACAACAACTCTCTGGGCTAGGTATGATTACCATTTGTCATTTTACACATGGGAAAATCAATGATTACAGCATTTCAGCAACTTTCATGATTCAAGCACTAAGTAGCTGTGCTAGACTCCAAGACTGAATCTATTCTTCCAAACATACACATTCCAACCATCAAATAGTGCATCACTTCCCATCTCTAGTGTGTTCACTTCAATAAAATTTTACCTAATGCAGTTTATCTTCCATCTGCTATTCCTAACATTGGGTAGGAGTAGCATCTGCATTAGTGCACCTCACATAGCTACAAGGGAGAGAAGTCAGAACCTGGGGCTGAAGCCAGCTCCCCAGCTGCTAGTGCTACCTTGGCAACTTGCCAGCCATGCGTCTTGGGCCTGGTGACTTACCTTCTATAGGTAAGGACATCTCCTATACATACAAAGTGTGGTTGAAAGATACAGTGAATTTTAAGTTTTCAACATTCAATTAAGTAAAAGACACATTGCCATTAATCCCCCTCAAAATACCCTCTCATTTTGAACACACTTATCCCATTGTTCTTGTCCCTTCTGAAGCAGCTCTGGAAGGCCTCTTTCATGAGTCTCTTTAGTTGCCTGTTGTGGCTGCTGCAATGTCCTGAATTGATTCAAAACATTGACCTTCCATGGTCATTCTGACTGTAGAAAAGATCCAGAAGTCATATGGTGCCAGATACGGTGAATACGGTAGATAAAGACATCCCATAATATTTTTACGAGCTTATTTTTCTATTGGATGACACTCAGCAGCAGCATTCACCATATTTTTGCTCATACTTCATAAAGACATGAAAAAGATTTCCAGAACTACTTCAGAAAGTAGCAAGAATGATGGGATAAATATGTTTGAAGAAGTATGTTGGAAGGGATTAATGGCAATGTGTCTTTTACCATACTAAATTTTAATTTTAACTTAAGTACTCACCATGTTTTTTGATCACACATCATAAGAATATGTCCTTCATGTCCAGTGATAAACTGACCAATATGGTTCCTTCCTTGCTTACTCAGGAACTGAGTCAGTAGCAATAAGAATTGCCAGTGTCCTCCCACCAGAACCACCAGGGACATATCTACTTATTGCACATATCTATGTGTGAAACAGATTGATTTTATTACTCATTGCAGTGAGAGATTGTGATACCTTAAGGGCCCAGGAGAGAGAAAGAGTGAGAAAGGACAGATTATAGAATGAGGTTTTGCTTAAGTAACTTGAAGAAGGATCTAAGGACATGAGAGTTCATTCTGGATTTTCAGGGTCAAGTCTATGATTGGGTATTTAATTATGTCTTATATGCAGGGAAAGCCAACTGTTGCAACATAAAAGCTACAGTGGCTAGAGCAGAAGCAGTTACTGGCATTAGCCAGGAGAGCAGGTGTTTGGTATTTTGTGACTTGCACACTAATCCTGTTTTGGATATGCTAGACAAGATCATGCAGTAGCCTTGACTTGTCTCCATGCTGGTCACAGAATGAGCTTGTCTGAGCTGATGTTCTGTGAGACTAGCCTGACAGAAGAACAGCAGGGCTCCTGAGGCTCTGAGGCAGCTTTGAACAACATGCAGCCCCAGGGACTGTATCAGGCCAGCTTCTGGCCATCAGAGCTGCTGTTCTTGTCCCTACGATCAATGAGGAAATGGCAGCAAAGGAAAGTTTGTCCCCCAAAAAACATGGTACCAACCAGAAACACTCAAGATCCCATGCTGCAGCTTCTAGTTGGTGTTAAGATCCACTTTCTCTTTTAACTAGAAAATGAAGTAGGTTTTTCACAGAGATTTGGGGTGACTGGGGACATTCCTACCCTTGTGGCTGCTGGGACGGCTGAGCCTCACTTATCCATCTCGCTTCTGTCGTCCTCTTCCTCTAGGTCGGACTCATCTCAGGTACAATCTTTGTGATTCTCGGACTGACTGTTCTGGCAGTGGGCTTTCTTGTGCCCCCCAAAATTGAAGCCTTTGGCGAAGCAGATTTTGTGGTAGTCGACTCGCATGCTGTGCGGTTTAACAGCGCCCTCGACATGTGTAAGCTGGCGGGGGCCGTGCTGTTCTGCATCGGGGGCACGTCCATGGCGGGGTGCCTGCTGATGTCAGTGTTTGCCAAAAGCTACTCCAAAGAAGAGAAATTCCTTCAGCAAAAGTTTAAAGAGCGAATCGCAGATATTAAAGCCCACACTCAGCCCATTAGTAAAGCTCTGGGCCCAGGGGAGACAAAGATTCCGGTCACTTTGTCCAAGGTTCAAAATGTCCAGCCTCTGTCGGCAACCTGAAGCCTTCCCCGCCCCTGTTGTCCCCCTTATGGCTCACACACCTTGGGAAAAGGAGCGCTGGTTTCCGAGATGACAAGGATTGGACAGTGGCCCACCTTGGGCTGTTTGCCAAGGGGCTTGGAGTGCGGGAGGGAGCTTATACGTGCTTGCTACAGGTGATTTGGTGACAGCAGTGTCACCGTGTCACCATCACCTGTCTGCGGGCATCCAGCGGCTTCAAGCAGATGCTCTCTGCCTGCCTCGAGCCCCCCTGGAGTCTTCTTTTGGTTGTCGTGACCTTGGCTGATTCTCCGTGTTGTCTAAAGTGTTCAACCTTTCAGACAGGCTAACGTGGTCCATTTTGTTTTCTGATAGTTGGTTTTTCTACTCCCTCCTGCGTGGTGCTGTCTCCTACCTGTGTCTCTCTGTGTATAAGATATTGTCATGTGTTCATAGAAACCTGAAGTTGCCTGATTTTGACTTGAACATTAGTCTTTTACTTACATCTTACCATGAAGTTCCAGAGATGAAACACAAATGTATCCGTGTTCTCCATAAATCTTAGTGTTTTCTCCAGATTCTTTTTTTCTCATTTAAAAAGCTAAAATTGCCAACCTTAGAATTTTGGTGAGAAAAACTAATATTGGAAGTGTATGCTTATGCAATGCCCGGAAGCACTGGATTTAAAAACCCAAGAAATTTGAATTCCTACTACTAACTAGCTGTGTGATTTGCAAGAATCATTTGGCTTCCTTCCTACGCCTCTTTCCCCATGTGTATAGTGGGAGTCTAGGGACCTGTCCTCTGCCCTATGTCCTCGAGTCTCTGCAGCAAGGAGGTTTATTATCTTGTGGCTGTCCCCACGATGGGTTTTTTCAGAACTGGACTCCTGGAAATCACTGAGTTTGCAATTTTCACACTGCGGACCCTGGAATGTCCAACCCCAGCAGTTTATACAATGCTATCATATTTTTATAAAGACAACAGCAAGCATCCTCACGTAAGAAACCCCTAGTGATATGAACCTGAAAAGAAAGTTTTGTTCTTGAAGGTGTTTTATTCTCCAGCAAGAAGCCCCTCTCACACCATGCACTTTGATTAATCTGTGGAATTAAATTAGGCTGATGAAAATGAAAGGAATGATGACCTTGGTGTCCTGTGAGGATATGTGCCACCTTAGAGTTCTGTCTTTTCTTTTCCCCCTTCCTTAATCGGATAAATAAAACATGCGAATGAGACAAACCTGAAGTTCATGGTCATCTGTCACCATGGCTGTTTTCCCTCCAAAGTGTAATTTTCCATCCTGAGAATGAATACACTCTGATGTTCCCTGGATAAATGGAGAATAAATAAAGCAATTGGTGACTCTGTGTGTTTATTTTGCACTGTCCAGCACAGTATGGGGGACAAATCAGCATCCCACAAGGGCATGTGGCTGGGTTTTGGAGAAACTGGTCCAGTTTCCTTGGGTTCCCCGCTCTCTGTGGAAAGACTGATGTCATTTCAATCTTCAAAGCCCGCAGCCTTGTGTACCACACTTGATAAGTCTCCAGCTGGCTACTGGCCTGTGTACCAGTGAATCTTGGAGAATGCACCTTGAGTTTTTAAAACCTGCAGAATGAAAAATAATGGCTGGTGCAACCTGAGAACCTCAGGCAGAGAGTGATCATAGGCCTGGATTCTCAGAGGTTAGTGCTCCCACACAGTTGAACAGCTTTCAAGCATTGCATCGGACTAAGGCTTGCACTGAAATCATCAGGATCAAAGCAACACAATTGCATGCTGGGAATGGGGTTGGGAGGGGCACAACTGGACAAGATTAGAAAACATGGTATCTGGGTTCACATCCCCATAAGTGCCCGACATGGACATGAGCCTCAGATGACATGGCCCTGAACAGCAAGAAGTCCCCAAGCCAACATGGATCCATTGATCCTCCACCACCACTGGCCAAGGCTCCTCCTGCAAAGGCCTGCAGCTTCACAGGGCCAAATGCTGCCCCTTTATGCAGATCCATGTGGCCAGAAAACCATCCCCATATAGGACAGAAGTTGCCTTTCTAACCTCTCCATATAGTGGACAAAATCCCATAATTCAAAGTTACTTACAAATCTAACCTCTCTTTCATATGGCCGTCTGCCCCACACCCACCCCGCTCCCATCCCTACCTATTTTGTCATTCAATTTTTTCACTCTGCTACCTTTCTGTTTCTCTTTTTCAGGGAGACATTTGGTAAGTAGAGCCCCCTCCCCAAGGTGTAAAATTGAATACGTTAGGGATTCCCTGCCTTCTCTGATGCTACACATAGCACCTGCTGCCAGGACACTGACTTCTAAGTGAAATAAATCAGACACACAAGCTTCAGTAGCATATGGCTTCTCTTATATAAGAAACCCAAAATATAAATGAATAAAAGAGCAAAATAAAAGACAGACATAGGTAATAGGAAACAAGGAGATCTCATGCAAATGGGAAAGAGATCAAGAGATGAAGGCAGGAGGAAAAAGGGTCATAAAAAGAATTCAGATGTGTTGTGTATACCAACTCCCCACAATGAATATAATCATTATGTCCCACAAATATCCACTAATAAAAATAATAAAATAAAAGAATAGTGATCTCAGAGGCCGTGAGAGCAGTAAATTCGTGTCCTTCCCCCCATCCCCCTCTGGCTTGGTTCCCACATACTTGCCCCGTATCCCACATCCCAGTCAAACTCAATTTTTCTCCTCTCCCCAGCTGTGCCTGCACTTCTGTGTCACTCTGTCCCCAGTCACAATGCTTATTCTCCCAGCAACAACCATCTGTTCCTTGTCTGGCTTTGAATGAATCATTCAAGGCTGAATGGAGAAATAGCAGCAATAGGAATAAGAATAAGGAGCAAGAATAAGCAATAAGAATAAGAATAAGCAGCAATAGGAATAAGAGTTCACATGTACTGAGTGGGAGGCAACTTTGAGGCATTTTATAGATACACATTAGTCTTTTTTATATTAATTGGTACATTTTAGGTATACAATACATTTACATTTATCATTGGGTGTCTCTACCTGAACATGATGTATCTTAGTTCTTACTTTTTTCCCCATTACCTATGCGCCCTTCACCCCCACCACCCTTCCCTATTCACATAGACTTTGTTTCCTTTTTTTTTTTCTTTCCTCTCTTCCCTTTCCCCTTCCCCTCCCGCCACCCCTACCCCTTTGGAACTTTTCCTATTTCAAATTATCAATTACTCATTTTAATCATTTTCATCCTAATATACACTTTCAGTTTCTCACACTAGAGATACTATTTGGTATTTACACATGTGTGTCCTATTTATTTCACTTAAGAGTATGGCCTCAATATGCATCCATTTAGCTATAAATGACTCT